GAGAGAGAGAGAGAGTAAGCTCTTACGGAATAAGTACGAGTAACCCGACACCACCCTCACAAAAAAAAAGAAAAAAAAGAAAAAAAAAAGGAAAAGATTCAAAACTTGAAAAGAGAGAGAGAGAGAGGGAGAGAGAGAGACACCCACCTCCCGTCGCCCTCTCGTCGCCCATCCCGTCGCCCATCCGGTCGCCCATCCCGTCGCCCTCCCGTCACCCATCCCGTCGCCCATCCCGTCGCCCTCCCGTCGCCCATCCCGTCGCCTTCCTTTCACCCATCCCGTCGCCTTCCCGTCGCCCATACCATCGCCCTCCCGTCGCCCATCCTGTCGCCCATCCCGTCGCCCTCCCGTCACCCATCCCGTCGCCCTCCCGTCGCCCATCCCGTCGCCCTCACGTCGCCCTCCCGTCGGCCATACCGTTGCAAAAAAGAAAAGAAAAGGAAAAAAGGAAAAGATTCAAGAGAGAGAGAGAGAGAGAGAGAGAGAGAGAGAGAGAGAGAGAGAGAGAGTCACCCACCTCCCGTCGCCCATCCCGTCGCCCTCCCGTCGCCCATCCCGTCACCCATCCCGTCGCCCTCCCGTCGCCCATCCCGTCGCCCTCCCGTAGCCATTCCATGTTATAGCGGTGGATTCATTGGGTTTTGCTCATCCTACCGATGACACTACCGTGATGACAACCGTTAAATCTTCGCTTACACACACACACACACACACACACACACACACACACACACAGCCACACTAACAAATGTGACAATGTATATTTTCATGTTGTAGCGGTAGGTTCATTCGATTGAACTCATCATATCGAAGAAAGTAGGTGAGGTCGCCGCAAGGTAGGGAGCACACATGCCCATTCATACTAACACATACGAATGACAATGTATATTCGCATGTTTTAGCGGTAGATTCTTTCTGTTTTGCTCATTCTAAAAAAAAGGTATCGCGCGGCTAGCCGCGGGGTAGGGGACTTACCTATTGCCTCTCCCTTTTTCCGCTGTTGTCGTCGTTGTCGTAGTAGACAGTTGGCTGCTCCCGTTCCGCCAATGCAGCCCGATCCGTCACGATGGGCAGCATATCGTGATCACAACACGGGGCACGATTGGCACAAGCGTGCCTTCCAACGAAGCCTGGCGGATGATGAGTCCGCCTCACGAGGTTGCCGGCCTCGATTGCACGGTCACGGTGAGTGGTCCTCTCCACCTTCTCCTTTCTCCTCCTCCTCCTCCTTCTTCTTCTTCTTCTTCTTCTTCTCCTCCTCCTTCTTCGTCGTCGTCTTCCTCTTCTCGCTCCCCGAATCTGCGTGCGTTTTCTTCCTTATTCTTGATACGTCGAATGTCGTCCATAATGCCTCGCTCGTTCTTGTCCAGTCGCGCCCTCACTCTTTCCTGCGCGATAGCCACCCCTCCCCTTCTCTCTCTCTTCCTTCTTCCTCCTCCTCCTTCTTCTTCTTTTTCTTCTTCTTCTTCTTTCGCCTCCCTCTTCTCTGCGCGACCACCTCATTTCTTCCGCGCGGTCCTTCCATTGCTCCCTGCGCCCGCTCTTCCTTTCTTCCTCCTCCTTCTCCTCTTCTTTCTCCTCCTCCTCCTCCTTCTTCTTCTTTTTCTTCTTCTTCTTCTTTCGCCTCCCTCTTCTCTGCGCGACCACCTCATTTCTTCCGCGCGGTCCTTCCATTGCTCCCTGCGCCCGCTCTTCCTTTCTTCCTCCTCCTTCTCCTCTTCTTTCTCCTCCTCCTCCTCCTTCTTCTTCTTCTTCTTCCTCTTCTTCTTTCAACACCCCCTTTCCTCGCGACCACATCCTCTCCACCGCTCACTCGTCCTCCATCTCTCTCTTCCTCTTCTACATATCTTTCCTCTTCTTCTTCGCGCGCTTTGCGCGTTCATCCCGCCTTCCGCTTTCTTGCGCTGCTCCCTGCTCCGATCCCCACCTTGATGTCGCGGTCGCGTCCGGTCTCCGCTAACACCTGCTGGCCGTGCGTGAGTTCTCGACTGCACTGTCCGCGGGCTCGACCAGGGCTCAAAATAGGCGAAAAATAAAAAGAATAAATAAGAATCTAACTATAACAATAAAATTTAAATAAATAAAAGAAAAATGACTAAATACTAACTACCTAACTAACTGCTTATGCCACCTGTCGTGCATAGAGCACCACCGAGCCTAACGGCTCCAACCAGCCACTAACTTCTAGTAAGAAGGTCACGGGATCGAGCCCCGGCCAGCTGAGCTCGGGTGAAGAACTTTGTGGAGCTCCGTGACAAAAGGGAGCTAGCTTCAGTGGTTTGATGGATTCAACCCCTATACCCTGTGTTTGATAGCCTTGCACCAACACCTACTAAGCTAACTCCCACTTTAAGTAGAAGTGGAGCTGCTTGGTTTATAAGAGTAGCGGGGCTCAGTCCGACCAGTGGATTGAGCCCGTTTTACCTAAGTTAGCGTGTGTGTGTATGACCCGCAAGGGCACTGGGTTGAGTGGATGGCCCGACGGCCGGTACTTACCCGCGGCCGTGACCTTGAGGGTTGCGGCGGGGAAACCACACAAGTGGCGGGGAAAAAGGTCCGCGACACTTCAGAGCAGCGGAAAATACTCAAATAGCGGATAGGCCGGTACCACATTAAGTAGGGGCAGATGTGCCCGGTACTCAAGGCCGAGCAGAAGAAAATAAAGGTTGACATTTTTCAGAGACCCAGTACCGGTAGGTAGGCGGGTACCAATTCAAGTAGCCTGAGTTCGGGCACTGTGCGGACGATATCAGGACTTGCAGTGGTGTCTCCCTCAAAGGGACGAAAGCACTGGTTGCTTGGGTGATTGCGTGGACACGAAGTCGCCACTCGAGAGATGACTTCCTCTCCCCATATGGGAGGCGGAGTTGGAGTTTCAACCCCACTCACGGCATACGAGTAAAGACAGAGGTACCGACTGCCGTTACCTATTATGGTAGGCAGTATGCTTCTTTTGGCTGCCCCGGCCGCATGGTCGGGGTTGTATTAATTTTTCAGTCGACTTTAGATTTTATGGCGGTGTGACTTGCCGACTTCCCTATACCTGCCGGTCCGACGCCCCGTCCCTCTAATTCGTTTTTCCCTTACCGCCTAAACCTTTGACTGAGTTAGATCGTGGTCGACGCATCCGGCACGACCTTTTCTCGTTCTCTTCCAACCCTCCGGACCTTGTGGTCGGAGACGTTTATTTTTTTACTAACCTTTACCCGTTGTCGTATGCGTCGTATCACTGCGTACAATCGTCTAGAAATCTCGGCCTCAATGGTCGAGAAGTTTGCTTCACAGCACCAAGCCAAAAAAAATTCTCACTTTTTTACTCCAGCCTGTCTTCGGCATGGCGACCGGCGTCGATATTGCATCGAATGCAAAATCATGAGCAAATACCCTTGTAAGGGTGTTTGTTCCGACACCGTGACCTTAAAACATGTAATCGTATGACTCTACCATGTGAACGGCTAGGGGAAATGGCACGAACGTGTGATATGCCAGACTGGGGAGATCAACAGAACACCGAAGACCAACACCCCCAAGCAACCCATGTGAAACCCAGAACCAACATACAACACCATGAACAACCCTTGGGTGGTGCGCAGGTAGTGTTTGCAATAGTACCATGCGTTAGCCCAAGGGAGTGTGTCCAGTCGCGCATCAGTCTAACGCCCTGTCGGTGTTCATGTGTAAGGTTGCAATTTAGTTTTAAACCCGCAACCTCATACCACAATGCGCATTTCCAAACTATGCTCTAACCACTGAGCCAGATCAACTGGAGTCCGGTCTTAAGTACCGGACTCAAGTTGAGTCCGGAGGGCAGAAGTGCAATTTGCCTCGGGGCTAAACTGAAAATCGAAGGTTTGAGCCTGGGCGCCAGAATGTCGGATGGCGCCAAGTATAAAAATCCGAAAGTGCCAGGGGGAGGATTTGAGAACGGGCGCCAACAGTCAGGTACCGGAGATCAGTGATTCAAAAATAAAATAGCAGTCTGGCGGGTGGTAACCCGCGGGCCAGGGATCGAGCCCTGGCTGAGTCTGTAACAGGAAAGGTCGAAGTGGGGGCGGAAGGCGGGGGGAGACGGGAGCGGGAGCGGGAACAGGAGCGAGGAGCGGGGAGCGGGAGTGGGAAGCGGGATCGGGAGCGGGACCGGGAGCATAAGTGGGGAAGAGGGACCGAGACAAAAAAAAAAAAGCAGTGTGACAGTGTATAGTTCCATGTTCTAGCGGTAGATTTATTCGATTTTGCTCATCGTATCGATGGAAGTACCATGAGGCCAGCCGCGAGGTTGGAGACTTAGCAGTGTATATTTCCATGTTCTAGTGGTAGATTCATTCTATTTTGCTCATCCTATTGGAGACTTACATGTTCTCTCTCTCTCTCACACACACACACACACACACACACACAAAAGTCGACCACTTTTTTCAAGGGTGTCGCTAACTTCGGGTGATGTGGTGAGTCCTTATCCATCAGTCAAATGAATCCTGGGTTGACTGTCAGGGTTCAACCTCCTAATGAGTCGGTGAAAGTCCGACGAAACAGTCTGGCAGAGTCATGTTTTTTTTTAGTGTATAGCTCGGCTACTAGCCGGGCCGCCCGGGTCACCCTATTTTCCCGGGCGGCCCGGTCATGCAAGGACTAGGGAAGGACCTTAAAAAAAAAAAATAATAATAAAAAATGATAAAATCCCCAAAAAAAACTATGTCATGCAGAAAATTAAACTGATCAAAAATCGATAAAATCCGTTGTCGCTGGAGTGGTCAGTATCTGCATAAGGAGTGTCATTGCGTTTAGGAGGACTATCTGGAGGACAATGTTCAGTTTTAACTTCAGTCTAGCTGTACGCATCAGACAAGTCGGGAGGACAGCAACACGGTGTGGAAGAGGGGAGGCAAAATGAAAGACTGAGAATAGCAAAAAGGAATTGGGGAGAAGGGGAGTTACGTACGAGTGACCCAACTGATAAGGATTTAGGCGCACTCGTCTGTTGGTGTGAGAAAGTGAGGCCTTGCCTCTACTGTGGGTCGTCAGTAACTACTAAAATGCGACAATGGACTACTGCTACATCGGTCAGTCATCGATCAAACTGGCGTACTGATGGGGGATTGGACTGTGTGGCACTAACAGGCTACCCGTCAGCAGGGTCTGCGCTAGTTTGTGAACGGTTGCAACCTTCTACTGAGAAGTCTACTGGTACTACAGTTGTCCTTTTTTTTTTTTTGTAGTCGTCGGACACTATTGCTGCATGAGGAATAACTCGTTGTTATGCTAAGCTATATTAGCTTGCAGTGAAGTTGAGTTCGGGATAGGGTGCTCTGTCTGAAAGCGGTCTTTCTAGGCTGCGAAGCGAGCATCATAGTCAGGGGCAGCGACATCGTGACTTGAAGGAGTGGTCAGTATCTGCATAAGGAGTGTCATTGCGTTTAGGAGGACTATCTGGAGGACAATGTTCAGTTTTAACTTCAGTCTAGCTGTATTACTGCATTTATTGACCACCATTGCGGGGTCCTCAGGCATATTGAGATTTCAAGGCCCTGTCCTAGGAGTTGAGTTGTCCCTCTCTTGTATCTCGAGAGTTTGAAAACCCCTCCTTTTGCCCTTCTTACTCTAAGTGTAGTCTTGTTCTGAGAGAAAGGCAGCAAGCGGGATTGCAACTCGTACGATCACAATAAGATTCTGTGAGAGTCTGCCCACCGATTCCGGGAGCTCTGCCAGAACTCAGGAGGAGTTCTGGAGGCAGGGAACTATCAGGTATATCTCCTTCTATCTATATCACCCCACTATACCCCTGTTTGACCATCTCCCTCTAGTTTGATTGTTGTATGCATGTGTTCCCTTATGATTTTTTTTTTTTTCAAAATCTAATCAGACTAAATGGAAGGAATGTGTGAGAGTGAAGCTTAAGTTTCTTCTTTATTTTGACTGAAATAGATTAAGGGATGAACTGGAGGAACATGGAGGAACATGGAGGAAGGCGGTTTGCATGCGTTTGACCGAGTCAATAAAGGATTGGGCATTGTTTTTAAGTTGAATGGCCTAGGGTTATGTTTATTTGGTTGTTTTCTGAAGGACCGGGTATTATTTATAAGTTGAATGACCTTGTTGCTGTGATTAATTTTTCGGGTTTGCCTGACTGATCTTTGAGACCAAGCATTGTTTCTAAGTGAATGGCTTGGTCTTTCTGTTTCTTTTGGGATTTCTGACTTAAGTTGGGCTAAGGAATTCAACTTCATGTATTTAATGATTTGATGATCGGTTGAACATTGTTTTTAAGCTGAATGGTTCAACCTCTTGTTTTATTTATGAGGGAGGATTTTTTGTCTACTGCTAAGCATTATTTTTAAGTTTAATGGTTTAGCCTGAAAACCACGCATATAAGTACAAACTGAGTATAACAGAAAATAACTTATTTATAATTACATGTGAACTGGAAGTTGGACATTGTTTATAAGTTGAATGGTCCAGCGCTAAGCCATATCACTAAGAAGAGAACTTGAAGGAAAAAACACATAATATAATTGAAAGTAATGTGGACAAACTGAACATTGTTTCTAAGTTGAATGGCTCAGTCCCCTCCCCATATTTTCATTTATTTTTTATGACAAAGTCATAAATTACTAAACTCTGGATATTAAACAGTTCAGGGCGACTAAACATTGTTTCTAAGCTGAATGGTCTAGTCATATGGCCAAAGAAGATAAAAGTAGTTGCACAACTTATTTGTGTACAGCTTAAGGTATGCTAGACATTGTTTCTAAGTTGAATGGTCAAGCACCATGCCATATGTAAGTTGGGTACAAAGGATACATCATCTGAGGGTTTCATGAACTAATCCATGAGATTTGACTTGAGGAATTGTGAAAGTACTTACCAATGTGGTTTGACCTTGTATGTGGATTAGTGAGATCACTACTTAGTCTGA